AAGGCTGACTGGATGAAAGCCAGGATTGGATTGCTGCAGTGTGGCTCATCCTGCCCCTGGAAGAAGCATTTCAAAGCACAGGTCTAATTGAGGGTCTTCTGGAGACACCCTCATGTGCAGAGAATAGCCAGGGATTCCAAGGGAGGACAAGAATTGTATTCCCCACCTCCCAGAACCACCCCACGGACAGTCCATCAAGAAACAGCTGTTGTAGGGGCGCCTGGGTGGCTCAGTCGTTAAGCGTCTGCCTTCGACGCCCAGGTCATGATCCCAGGGTCCTGGGATCGAGCCCCACATCAGGCTCCCTGCTCAGTGGGAAGCTTGCTTCTCCCTCTCCCTCTGCCCCTGCTTGTGTTCCCTCTCTCGTTGTGTCTCTCTCTGTCAAGTAAATAAAATCTTAAAAAAAAAAAATGAAAAGCACTGTAAAAAAAAAAAAAGAAACAGCTGTTGTAAAATGGTGCAGCTGGGAAAATGGTATGGTGGTTCCTAAAAAAATATTAAATGTAGAATTACTATTTGATCTAGCAATCCCACTTCTGGGTATATACCCAAAAGAACCGAGAGCAGGGACTCCAAACAGGTACTTATACTCCCAAATGGTCATAGTAACATTATTCACAATAGTCAAGATATGGAAGCAGCCCAAGTGTCCATCGAATGATGAATGGATAAAGAAGATGTGGTAGATATATATACAATGGAATATTATTCAGTCATAAGAGAATGAAATCTTGCCATTTGGAACGATGTGGATGGAGCTAGAGGGTATTATGCTAGGTGAAATAAGTGAGAGAAAGACAAATACCATATGATTTCACTCCTATGTAGAATTTAAGAAACAAAACAAGCAAAGGGGGAATAAAGAGGCAAATCGAGAAAGAAACTCTTAACTCTAGAGAACAAACTGACCATTACCAGAGGAGAGGGGAGGGGGAGATGGGTTAAATAGGTGATGGGGATGAAGGAGGGCACTTGTGATGAGCACCTGGTGATGTATGGAATTGTTGAATCACTGTATTGTATACCTGAAAGTAATAATAACACTTTTTATTAACTAACTGGAATTTTAAAAAATGTAATCACTTATCTCCCCTTGCCCCCCCAAAAGCTCCCTGCATTTTCTTCTCAAAATATTTCTGAGAAGTCAGACATAAATTATGAAGAAGTAGAAGGGTTCACATGTTGTATGATTCAGTTAAACTATATTCTCTTCTGTTTGGCTTTCAAAAAGAAAAGACAATACATGTTTCTACTTATATAAAGTATCTAGAGGGTCAAATTCATAGACAAAGTAGGATGGTGGTTGCCAGGGGCTGGGGAAACAGAAAGTGGAGTTACATCTGTCACATGAGGTCAGCCGAGGTTTGTTTGGCTGGGGAAGGGACACTGGGCTTTGCCACTGACATCATGTGGCTTCCATCTCTGGTTTCAAGGTAATTGCACCTGTTGTCGCCATATCCCAGTCAGGAAAAGGGACAATGGAGGGCAAGGAGCTCCTTATAAAGATGTGGTTCAGAACTTAGACACATCACTTCTACCTGCATCCCTTTGGCTAACTCATCCTGCTGCTACACATAGCTGCAAGGGACGCTGGGAAATGTGTGTTACTGGATGGCCATGTGCCCAGCTACTACTCATGGGGTCCCGTTACTAAAGGAAGTAAAGGAGACTAAGTATTAGGAACAATTCATTTTTGCAACAGTGTGTATTTTTCATATATATGTATATATTTTTATGTGCATATATGTAGAAATAGGTCCATATAGAATATAGAAGTGCATAGATAAATAGACTACAGCCTGGAAAAATACATATACAAAGGTCTAGAAGAAAGTGGTAACTGTAGTTACCTCTGGAGAAAGGGGAGAAGACAGGATGTGGGATATTCATAGCCGACTCCAGCCATAGCTGTAGGGTTTTAATTTTTAACGAGGATAATGTCTTCATGTTTTACTTAAGAAATTAAATATTAATTTAAATCCAAGAGGGCCTGGTGAGCATCTGGCTGCTGATGTTGCAGTCTTGGTCTTATCTTTCTGTGGTGGGACCCAGCACCAGAGTGTGCCAGGAGGTCGCATAGCCCTTTATCTTCCAGGAGCCTCTGCTGCTGTTGCCGGGGGCTCTTGGTTCAGAGGCCCCACCTTCTCAAAGCCTGTGTAACTTACTCAGGGTCTCTCTGCCCCCATCCTTCCTGTCTCGTTCTGGAGGGTTTCCTTTATTACTAGCAGATTAGTTGAACATAGGAGGGTGGAGGAATTCAAAAGGGAGTAAATCGCAGCCTCCCTCTCTACAGATTACTTGTTAATTACAGATAGGAAGCTGGTCACTGTAAATGGAGAAAGCAGTGGGCAGCAAGCAATCAATGTTAACATCACAGACACTGTGTCCCTCCTGATAGGAGACACTGAGGACACAGCATCACTTTAATGGCATTTCTGTCCCAAATGCATATCCAAAATTCACTCATGGGGAAATATCTGACAAGCCCAGATGGAGGGACATTCTTCAAAACAACTGGACTGAACCCTTTAAAAATGTCCATGTCAGGGCACCTGGGTAGCTCAGATGGTTAAGCGTCTGCCTTCGGCTCAGGTCATGATCCCAGGGTCCTGGGATCGAGTCCCGCATCGGGCTCCCTGCTAGGCGGGGAGCCTGCTTCTCCCTCTGCCTCTGCCTCTCTCTCTCTCTCTCTCTTCTCTCTGACTCTCATGAATAAATAAATAAAACATTTAAAAAAAAATGTCCATGTCATGAAAGACGAAGAAAAGTTGAGGAACTGTCGTAGACTAAAGGAGCCTGAAGAGATACGATAATTTGATCATTGTACTATGGATATATAAGAGAATGTCGTGTTCTTTTTTTTTTTTTAAGATTTTATTTATTTATTTGAGCGAGAGAGAGTGAGCAGGAGTGGGGAGAGCAGCAGAGGGAGAGGGAGAAGCAGATCCCCTGCTGAGCAGGGAGCCCGACGTGGGGCTCGATCCGAGGACCCTGGGATCATGACCTGAGCCAAAGGCAGACCCTTAACCGACTGAGCCACCCAGGCGCCCCGAGAATGTCGTGTTCTTAGGAAACATGCACTGAAGTATTTAAGAGTAAAGCAGCACGTTGTCTACGACCAACTCCCAAATGGTTTAGAAAGGAGTAGGCAAACCTTTTTTGGCAGAAAGGCTAGGGAATGAGGATTCTAGGCTTCGGCGGGCCATATGGGCCATGTCACAACTACTCAATATGCTGCTTTAGCGCCAAAGTAGCCATGACGGGATGTAAGTGAACGGGTGTGGCTGTGCTCCGGGAAAGTTTATTTATGGATACCGAAATTCCAATTTCATATACTTCTCACGTGTCGTGAAGTATTCTTCTTTTGATTTTTTTTTTTCCAACCAGCCAAAAACCATTTCCAGCGTACTGCCCATACAAAATATGGTGGCTAGAGATTTGGCCTGTGGGTTGTCGTTCACTGATGCCTGATACAGAAAAAATACACACACACACATGCGATAAAGCAAATATGTATGGCATAATGCCAACAGTTAGTGAATCTGGGTGAAGGGTATAGGGGGGTTCTTTGTATTCTTCTTAAAATTCTTCAGCAAGTTTGAAATTATCTAAAAATAGAAAGTTACATGAAAGACCTGATTTTCCTCTCCAGGGACCCAGGCAGGAGAGAGTGAGGATGCTGTGCGAATTCAGGGGACCAAGCCATCTCATCTCGGGGTCAGGGGAGACTTGCTCACAGTGTCCTTTGACGTTGTTCCTAATTGTTATCTGTTCACTTCATTGCCTTCACTTCTTTATTTTCTGGCTTGACTGTCAAATCTAGAGACCCCCGCTTGGCAGCTATGAGCGTTTAGGGTCTGGTCTCACCCTTTGACCATCCCCTTTTTTTCCCCTCCCCCTGGTAAATACATTTCTCCACCACCCAAGAAAACAGACACTTTAAATCTGTTCATTGGATTATTTTTTTTAATTTCATGGTCCCTGTCCCTCATGTTGTTTCCTCTACATTGTTGGTGCTTGTCTTAGATTATCAGAACTCTAGAGGGAAGGGGCTGTTTCTGAGCATACGGTGTAATGTTCGGGGAGGTGTGCTGGGGCAGCATGATCAAGAAGTTACTGTGTTCATCCTCCTTGCCTTGAGGTGAAGTCTCTTGTATTTCCCCAGGCCTTGTGGCCCTGAATGGTTATTTCCAGAGCCTGGGGTAGGGAGGGCTGGCTGTAAGGGAAGCGGTGTGTCCTTTTCTTAGTTGACTTAGCAAGAACTCTCTTCATTGCCAGGATCAGAAACCCAACTCAAACTGGTCTAAGTGAAAAGGAATTTATTAATTCATATCACCAAGAGCATTACATCCAGACCTGGTTAGATCTAAGGGCTGAATTGATGCTGTGAGAATTCTATCTCATACTGCGTTGCAATTTTGTTTTCCTGTTAGGCTTCATTTGCTCAACAGCCCCAGGTGCACTTTCTACCAGATTAGCAAACCCAGAAGAAGGAGGGCATTTCTAAACCAATATTTCTAAACCAGAGTCCCAGGGCTGACTCTCACTGGCCCGGTTTGAGCCACGTGTCTACCTCTGAATCAGTCAGTGGCTAGGGCATTGGAGGATACTCATTGGCCAGGCGTGGATCACATGACCGCTATTGGCGTGGAGACTGTTAGCCCTACTCAAACCATCTGGACCAAGAAGAGGTTGACAAGAGGTGGCCTCTCAAAGGCATATTGGGTTGTTGTTGCTATTAGGAAGGATGGAACCTGGGTAGGAAAAAAACATTAGTTCCGTACATAAGTGCCGTGCCATGCTGCCTTCCCGAATTCCAGTCCTGGTTGTCTAAGCCACATCTTCGATAGTAGTAGTTGCACTACTTTTTTGGCAGAAAGGCTAGGGAATGAGGATTCTAGGCTTAGCTGTCAGACTGACTTGCACAGTCACGTTCAACTATGAGAAGCGACCCATTCACATTCTCCCATACACCCTGCTTGGGCTCCTCCATCCCTCAGGAAACCCACAGGATCTACAAGCAGAAGCTGGAGGAGCTGACCTCACTCCAGACTTTGTGTAGCGGCTCCATCAACAAGCAGAAGACGCGCCTGAAGGACTTGAAGCACACACTCCAGAGGTAGGCGAGGCTACAGCTCCCCGGGTTTTAAGGGACAGAAACCCAACTCAAAGCTGGCTTAAGCAGAGAATGGAAATTTTAATGGAAAAAAACCAGGAGTAGCTTCAGACATCACTGGATGCAGGGGTCAAAAGGTGTTTTTAGGAATCTGTTAACACCCCCCCCCCTTTCTAAATTCTGCCTTCCTCTAGATTGGCTTCACCCTCAGGCTGACTGTCCCCTTCTGGTCACCGAGATGGCCACCAGCAGTGCCAGACAAATATCTTTCAGACATCCTCCAGCCTCCCTTCCTATTGGTTTGGTTCCACTGACAGAATAACTTGTTTTTCAGTAAAAGTTCTGGGTGTGATCCTAATTGGTGGGAATTGGTCACATGCTCCTTTGTGAACCAATCACTGAGACTCTGGTTAGGCAAGACTAGGTCATATGCTTAGTGTTTGGACCTGGGGGATGGGACAGGCTTACTGGAACTATATGGAGGGGAAAGAGGATGTGAGGTAGTTTCCCAGAGGAAAGTTGTTACAGGTCTTTGGTGTAGGTGGTAGGAAGTCTGGCATCCCCAGGGGGAAATACTTAAGCTCATGACTTAGTTCAGTTCTTGAGGACAAGATCATAAGTTCACCTCCCAATCCTCGTGTCTTCATGGTTTGGAAAGTGCTCTCATCCCCTATAGGTAGAAGGAGTCCAGTGGGTGCTGTGATCCCAGGCAGGCAAGGAGACTGAGGCTCTGGGTGGCTTATTCCAGTTGACTTAGCTAAGTCTCCATACCATAGTGTGTAACCTGGTCAATCCTTCCCTTCCCTTGTGGACAATTTTTGCAAACGTGCTGATTATATCCCTAACCTTGGCTGACCATTTTGGAAATGGAGGTCCATTAGTCATGGAGTAAGAGTGTGGAGGGTTCCATGTAATGACATCGCCACTCTTGGAAAAACACATCTTACTGATGGTAAGACTCAACAGTCTTTATCGGTCTAGGATTTTTCAACCCTGGCACTGTTGGTAATTCTGCTGCAGGGTCTGTCCTGTGCATTCTAGGATGTTTAGCAGAATCCCTGGCCTCTATCCCCTAGATGCCAGTAGGACCTTCCACCCCCTGTTTGACAAATAAAATGTTCCTAGATGTTGCCAAGTGTCCCCAGTTGAGAACTATTGGGTTAGAAGGTTGACCCATAGAGGACATACCTACTATTCTGAGAGGGTGTCCACTGGCTTGTTTTTCTAGTTTTGAGAGTTAAATATCACCAAGGAAAAACAGACAGTGATCAGTTGCCTGCTAATACCTTTAAAGCACTTTCCTGTCTGCCCTTCTAGTAATCCTCAGTCTCTTCTTTTAGAAGAGTAAGAAGCATGGTATTGCCTGTAGAAGTCCATTGAGCTCATACTGTGTATCAAGGATCATTCTAAATGTGTTACATTTAGTGTACTCACTTAATCCTCACAACAGTATTGTCCATGAGGTAGGCCTGATGCTACCCCTGTTTTTCAGGTATGGAAAATAAGGCAAAGCGGTGAAAGGACTTTCCCAAGGTCACAAGGCTAGCAGGGACCCAGTGTCAAACCCACAGGGTGCAGAGGGAGAATTGAGGTTGTAAGAAGCATTGAGATAGAAAGTTGGGAGGGCAGTGCCCCGAGCTCCCAGATTCTTCCTCCAGTCTGAGTAACACCCCTGCTTCTCCTATGCCCACACCTCTGATCAAACAGGTACAAGAACCATGCCAGTCGGGAGGAGGCAGAGCTCATTCAGCAGATGAGCGCCAACATCAAGGAGCGGCAGAACATCTTCTTCGACATGGAGGCCTACCTGCCCAAGAAGAATGGGTAGGAGCTGGAAACTTAGCGCACCTCTGCTGCGGGCAGACACCCAGGCCTAGACGGCCCGGTCTGTGTGACTTCCACCTCCCTGCTGGGGCTTGAGGTTGAGGGGAAAGGAGGGAAGCAAGGGCAGGAAAGAGAAGGAGGCTTTCTCATACGTTCCTCCATGGAACGGGAGGGGATCTCAGCGTGACCTTCCTGGGAGGGCTTGTGTGAGGAACCAGATACAAGATCTGGTTTCCAGCACCTGCCGCATGCCTGGTGCCACCCGAGGTTAAGAGGAAAGGTGTTCTCTCCCAAAGAACAAACACTGATTTATTTTATTTTTATTTTAAATTCCAGTACAGTTAACAGACAGTATTGTATTAGTTTCAGGTGTGCAGTCGGGTGATTCAGCACCTCCATACATCACCCAGTGCTCATCACAACAAATGCCTTCCTTCATCCCCATCACCTATTTCACCCATTCCCCCCCATAACCATCAGTTTGTTCTCTGTAGTTAAGAGTCCTGTTTCTTGGTTTCTCTCTCTCTCTCTTTTGTTTTCCTTTGAGAACAAACATTTATTGAGTGCCTGCTGTACGCCTAGCATTGTGCTGGGGGCTCTTGAATTGTCTACAGCTTGGTGAGTCAGACCCAGGTATCCAAATTCTACAAGGTTCAAAGCCATCAGGGGGTGTTTTGCTCAGGTGGCTCAGCCCAAGTTTGGATGTGAACACTCTGACTCCAGAGCTTGTGTTCTTTCTGTCTTCCTCCTTTGAAGAAGTCCCATTTCCTCCCTCAGGTGACATCACTGCCACCTGTTCCAGAGCGAGATCGGACAGTGTTGTATCGAAACCTGAGGCGGGCTGCTAAGTGTGCTCCCATCACTTCCCTGTGGCCCTTTCTCCTGGTTTGGCCTAGCGCTGAGTCAGAGCCCCCGTCAGGAGGCTTACTAACCCTTTTACACTTGAAGCCATTCCTCTTGGCTTCTCTTTTGCCATATTTGGTGAAAAACTCCCTGAGTTGGGTGGTGATAATTTTCCATAGAGTGAAACTGCATGACCCTTTTTTACAGTGCAGCTCAGATCCGCTTTCCCAGCTCCAGCCTCCTGAGTCCTCTGTGCATTTTACATCGGTTGGCAATCTTTGAGTTACAAATGACAGAAAGCCCGACTCAAAGTGCTTACGAAAAATAGGCGATTTATTGGCTCACGTAACTTAAAGGTGCAGATGTTGCTGTGGGTCTGGCTGGATCCTGCTGCTCAAATGATACTGTTAGGCTCTCTCAGTGAACTTTCCTTTTACTTTCTTGACCATGTGTGTCTTGTTCTTAGGGAGACTTTCTCTACAAGCTGCCCCGGGAGCTCTGGGTTTGCCTTCCGCCAGCTTAACAATTCCAGTAGAGAAAGCCTCTTTGTTTCTTAGTAGTTCTGGGAAAAGTCCCGGGACTGAGTCTCATTGGTGTGTGACCAGTGTGTCACATGACCATTATTGACCCAATGAGGAGGACGCAGTGCTTTGATTGGCTAAGCCTGGGTCATGTGCCTTACCCTAGGACCTGAGGGGAAAAGAGATTCTCTGAAGGGAAGTGGCACTGCTCTTTCAGGAAGTGGGGACTGTATTGCTAGCTGAAAAAAAATAGATATTCTTTTTACACCTCTACTCCGGTTACACCAGACCAGAAATGCCCCTAGAATTTATTCAGAGCTAGAAAGAAGACTTTTTTGTTTGCTTTTCTCCTCTCAACCTTCTATTCATCCTTCAAAGCCCAGTTCAAATGTTACCAACTCAGTGAAGCCTTTCCAAAACCCCTCTCCCTCTGTGGAATTAAACCCTTCCTCCCCCAAGATTTCATAACCCTTTACTTGCACCTTTGTTAGTGCCGTTAGAGTACAGGCTATTGTAACAAAAGCCCAACGATACAGGGGCTCAGGCAAGGGGGAGGTTTCTCTTCTCTTCTCATACATAGCAGTCCAGAGGTGAGTGAACCAAGAGTGGAGGGCTTATGGGGTCATCTAGGGACTCAGGGTCCTTCCAACTCCAACTTGCTGCTTCACCACCCTTCAGGGAGTTGTCCTCATCTGCATGGCCAAAGCTGGCTCATACTCTCACATCTGCAGGAAGTGGAGGGCAAGCAGCTGCCTTTTTACCCAAAAAAAAAAAAAGTTTGCCATTTCCTAGTGAAGCCAAAAACACACATATTCTATAATCCAGAAATTCCACTCCTGTCTGTCTGTATAGCCAATGGAAATGAGTGCTTCTGCCCTCCAATAGACATGTGTAAGAATGTCGGCAGCAAAGAATCCAGACTCAAAAGGCCCCGTGTTGCATGAGTCTTTTTGTATGAAATGTCCAGAATAGGCAAATCCATAGATACAGAGTAGATTAGTGGTTGACAGGTGCTGGGGGGAGGGAGGAGAGGGAGTGACTTCTGATGGGTATGTACTTTATTTTGAGATGATGAAAATGTTCTAGAATTATGTAATAGTTGTACAACGTTGTGAATATACTGGAAACCATGAAGCTGGATACTCGAAAAGGGTGATGTTATGGGGACACCTGGCTGGCTCAGTTGGAAGAGCATGTGACTTTTGATCCCAGGGTCGTTAGTTCGAGCCCCACGTGGGGTGTAGAGATCACTTAAATAAATAAATAAAACTTAAAGAAAAAAAAGGGTGATGTTATGGTATGTGAATTATGTTTCAGTTAAAATAAAGAATGTTCACAGCAGAAAGAAGCCAGGCATAAAATATACTATTAGGTATACCTGTAAATATACTGAAGGTTTTACTTCAGTTTTAAAAAGAACCCTTTTTAAATTGACCTAGAGATTGTACACATGCCTTCACCTCATTGGCTGGAATTTAGTCACATGCTCACATTAGCTGCAAGGGAGCCTGGAAAATATGGTCTCTAAGCCAGCTAAAATGGGGGGAAATGGGTTAGTCATGACTGTCATGTGTCACATTCTCTAGTTAGTCATTATTCTCCATGTGAGAATTTTACTGCTGAGTTTAGCACCCTGTTTTCTAACATCAGTGCTCAATGCATGCTTATTGTTTGAATGTTTTTGGTTGGGGCCCACTCCAGGGCTGGTAAGGAACGAGTCAGCCCTCACAGATACTTTCCTTCCAGGCTCTACTTAAATCTGGTCCTTGGCAATGTGAATGTGACCCTTCTCAGCAACCAGGCCAAGTAAGTATCTCTGACCCCCACCTGGCTTTAGGGAATCCAGGCATCTTGCTCTTTCAACTTAGGAGAAATGAACCTAGCTAGAATTTTTGAATAAATAAAACAAATTAATAGTTGGGGCTCTGGCTCTTGGTCTTTCTGACACGCTCCTTCTCAGTGGGGAGGCCACCCTGGGAGGGTTCCTTCTTCTTTTCATGCAGTCAGTACATTGCAGGAACAGAACTGTCACTTTCCCATGAGAAACGGCCCCTACTCCATTCCACTGCTTACCACACACAGTTCTCCCGGGAAGTGGGCAGTACTGTCCACCTGAAATCAGTCCCAGGGGCAGTAGAGCGTGGTGTTTCTGCTGCAGTAGCTGGTTAGGGAGCAGAACTTCTCCACCCCCTGCGCATCCCCATCACCAGCCCAGAGACCTACACCAAGAGCCCAGGGACTTGGGAAGCTTTGCACATCAGTCCTCTTTCTCTGGTTGATCATCACCATTAATTCAAGGCCAGAGTTTTCCTTTAGTGGGATCAGAAGCTTCCTGTGGGCAGTGGCTGGTGGTAGGTGAAGGATCTGTTGGGGCTGAGGATTCTGTCCCCAGATGGGATATAGTTATATTACTATAACTATAGTAATAGTTATGTGACCTTTCCTGGGGGTGTCTGTCTCTACAGATTTGCTTACAAGGATGAGTATGAGAAGTTCAAGCTCTACCTGACCATCATCCTGCTCCTGGGCGCTGTGGCGTGTCGATTTGTCCTTCATTACAGGTAACAGGAAGTGCGGTGGTGTGTGCCGGTATGGCGGGGCGCGGGGGGTGGGGGGAGTCTCTCCTGCCTCTGCAATGTTTGGTAGGTTGTAGGTAGAGAAGATGCTTTTCTCATGTGAAATAGCAGTCCTGTCCACTCGACATCTGTCCAACAAATATCTACTGAACAGCTACTGGAGAGACCTTATAGCTAGTAGTTAGGAAAGAGCCGAATGGCACACCCACACAATGGAATATTATTCCAATAATAAATAGGAATAAAGTAGTGACACACGCTACAACATGGATTCTGAAAACATGATGTTCAGTGAAAGAAGTTAGTCACAAAAGGCCACATATTGTATGATTCTGCTTATATGAAATACCCAGAACAGGCAAATCTATAGAGACAGAAAGCAAATTAGTGGCCAGGGTCTGGGGGGAGGGGAGGTGGGGGTGGGTACTGTTGATGGGTATGGCGTTTCTCTTGGAGTGAGGAGAATGTTCCAGAATTAGATAGAGGTGATGAAGGTACAGCTCTGTGAATATACTAAAAAGTAATGAGTTATACTCTGAAAGGGTGAATTTTACGGTATGTGAATTATATATCAATTATAAAAGGAGAAAGAAACAGAAAGCAAGAAAAAAGGAAAGGAAGAAGGGAAGGAAGAAAAGAAAGAAAGATCACAGACTGCCTGGGTTTGAATCTGGCTTTGGGACTAACTGGCTGTTACCATGAGCATGTTCCCTCGGGGAGCCTCAGTCTCTCCATCTGTAAAATGAGGCTGACACTAGGCTTTGCTAACAGTGCATGTGGAGGGCTCTGCCCAGCGCCTTGCACCAGCATCAGCCACTGCTTTGGGAGCAAGAGGAGGCCACGCGGCTCTGAGAGGCTGAGGCCAGTGGGCTCAGGCTGTCTTGCCACAGGGGGTTTCGTTCCCCACCCCCGGCACTGGGTTTTGGGCCCCGAGGGGAGGCAGCTGAGTACAGCTTGGGCATTTGGCCCATGTGTCAGGGGTTTATTTCCTGGCAGGTGCTTGGCTGGGAGTCCAGTTTCTGGTCTGGCCACTCGAATGTCCAGGCAAAGAAAGGCCCTTTTAGGTCCTGGGCCCGTGACTGCTGCCTCGGGCCTAGCCTGTTTCCCCAGAGGGCAAAGCCTGCACACATCAGTACTGCCTGCTCAGATGCCCCTCTGGAAGGGATAGACGTTCTCGATGTGCAACCAGATTCCCTTGCGTTGGGACATCTTGGGCCCTCAGAGGGCAAACCTGTGGTGTGTTGTCAAGTTCTAAAGTTCAGCGAGGGCCTGGGTCTTTCAATTTCTCCCCATCCCTCTCTATATTCATTTCCCAGGGCAGTGGTAACAAAGCACCACGCATTGGATGACTTGGAACAACAGAAATCTATGTTCTCACAGTTCTAGAGGCCAGAAGTCTGAAATCAAGGTGTTGGTGGGACCATGCTTGCTCTGAAGGCCCTAGGGGAGGATCCGGCCTTGCCTCCTCCAGCCTCCAGGGTGTTCCTTGGCATTCCTTGGCTTAAAGCTGTTTCCCTCTGGTCTCACTCAGCCTCCTGTGCCTTAATCTTGTCAGGTAGCCTCCTTCCGCGTGTGTCCCTGTGTTTCCCTCGTGGCCTTCTTAGGAGGACACCAGTCTTTGGATTCAGGGCCCACCCTAACCTGGTATGACCTTATCTTAACTAATTAAATTTGCAAAGACCCTATTTTCAAATAAGGTCATATTCTGAGGTCCTGGGTGGGCATGAATTTTGAGGGAACTCTAGTATACCTTCTGTGGGTTAAAAATAGGACAGGGGAAGGGGGCTGGACGGGCAGCTCATCTCCGTTCTGCCTTCAGGGAAGTTTGCCCTGCTGTTTGACCTTGGGCAAATGATCTAACCTCTCCCCACCTGGGTTTCTTCACACACAGGATAACGAGAGCTACTTGGTAGGATGGCTCAGAGAACCAGATAGGTTCTATTTGCCGTGTTTAGAGTAGTGCCTGGCACATAAGTGCCATCTAAGTGTGAGCAGTTGTGATTGCTGCCACCATTTTGTGCTGGGCAGGCTGGAAGAGACCACAGCTTATTATCCAGTGCATCCAAGGAGCAGGATTCTCTTTCCTACTCTTGCCACCTTGGGATGGTTTCCTTGCTGGGTGCCCCACCGAAAGGCCCTTCTGTGGTGCCTGTAAGTCCGGAGCTGGGCATGGCCAATGTCCGTCAGAACCAAGGGTTCTAGGTCCAGCTCTGCCACTCACAGATTGTGTGACCTTGAGTAGAGCCCTTGCTCTCTCCATGTCTGCTTCCTCATCTTCCCCAGGGCCAGAAGAGATCTGCCCATGCTGCCTGGTCCTCGGGAAGCTTTGGTGAGGCTGCTGGAGAGTGTGATGCCTCTTTCTTCTGCCTGCAGGCCAAGAGGCTGTGTCTAGTTAGGATTGTCCTCTATCAAGATTGGGTTTTGAAGCTGCAGGGAAAAGGGGGTTGGAGTTAAGCTTAGGTTAGTTGGGCTTGGGTTTGAATCTCACTTCTGGGCAGCTCACTTCCCCTCTCTGGGCCTCAGTATCCTCATCTGTAAACTGGGAAGTTGTCTTGTCTTGGTGTGTGTTCCCCCAGGGACAACCCCCAAGATAAGCATTTGAGTGCCCGCAGTTTCTTTGGGAGGTGATCCCAAGAAACATTGGTAGGGGAATGGGAAGTGAGACAGGAGGGGCTCCCCTGTACGTATCCAGAGAACTGGGAGACAGCATGGAACATGCCTCAATTACCCACTAGAGGGGCGAGGGAGCAAGGGTATTTATCTTCCAACTGCTGTTGGTCAGGGGAGCTGAGAACTGCTTTCAGAGGGAATAAATTCCCCTCCCTGCTCACCTGCCTCTCGCACCAGCAGAATGAGCTCTGGAGGCCTGAGAACTCCAGGCATGCCAGGAATGGCAGGGTCTGGCTGTCGGGAGTTATGCAGACGGGCACAGATGTGGAAAGTGCACCTGCCACAGGAAGCAATCCTGTGGCGTTGTTCCGAGGACTCAGAGAGATCGTCCACGTAAAATGCCTGCAGCATTGCAAGTTCCCAGTAATTAGAGCTGGCCTGGCATGGTCTGAGTCACGGTCCCTGAAGAGGTTCATATTCTAATCCCCAGAACCTGCGAATGTGTGGCCTTCTTTGGCAAAACGCCTCTGCAGATAGATTAAGTGAAGGAACTTGAGAAGAGATTATCCTGGAGTTGGGAGGGTCAGAGTCAGAGAAGGAAATGTGATGCCACGAAACGAGGAAGGCAGGCACCTCTAGAAGCTGGAGCAGGTCAGCAAGTGGATTCTCCCCGAGAGCCTCCAGAAGGAACCCAGTCCTGCCGACCCATTTCAGACTTCTGAGCTCCAGAACTGTAAGAGAATAAATGTGTGTTGCTTTCAGCCACTAAGTTTGTGGTCTGTTGTTACAGCAGCAACAGGGAGCTCATACACCCTGGCAGAGAAGGCTGAGGCCGGCACCTCAAGCATGTCCCTAAAGTGCCGGGGCCATAAAACTTTCTTTTTATTCCCCTCTTTACGGATAAGATGTAGGAAAGGACCAATGAAAAACATCCTGGTCACCACGACTCGCGACTGGGCCTGCCTCCTATCTGGAGGTGAGCTCAGAAGTCGGTGTCTGAGTGACCCTCTGCCCTGGGGAGGCCATCCCCACCCCAACACCCCATTCAAGTCAAGTAGGCCTTTGATTTCCTCAGAACTAAGCGTCTGAGACTCATATCTCAGGCTTTGGATACTCTGTGATACTTCCCAAAATTACAACAGGGAATGCAGGTAGCCCTTCCTATGCCTGAGGTGCCTCCTTGTGTTAAACTCAGCAGATGCTCACAGCAGCCTACACGGGAGCTGTTATCACTCATCACTCTCCCCACTTCAGTGCAGGAGGTGATCACGTGGGAGAATCACTGACTTCCCCTGGTCGCACAGCTGGGAAGAGTCAGAGCTGGGATTTGAACTCAGGCCCTGTGCTTCCAGTCTGTTCCTGGCCCTCCCAGGGCGATGGTTCAAGAGGGCTTGGGGTTGAAAGTCTGTCATCTGTGACCACAAAACAGGGTCACATAGCTTAAAAGACAACCTTCTAACTTCGGCTCTTACTGTTTGAGTCACACCCTTACATTTCCCTCCCAGGGTTATCATAGTTGTCCCAGTTCAGAGATGGAGACGGAGGAGATGGGGTGTTCTCCCTCCCCGGTGCAGAGGGATAGCGCCCCGCACAGTGCCGAATGCATCTGTATGGCGCTGGGAAGTACAGAGGCGCTTCCCTTTGTGGGGGAAGCTAGAGCCTCCATTAGAGTCAGCGGCAGGAGAGGCTTCCGAGGGGCTGTCTGTCGTAGGCCTTGTCCCAGAATCCTTCACCCAGCCATATTCAGGTAGGGGGTCAGCCTTCGAATGTCAGAGACAGCAAAGCGGAGGCCAGGGAGGTCTCTGACAAGGTCACACCCCGCCAGCTTTCCGCTCTGACCAGGGTACAGCAACAGCTCCAGCCCCTCTGTCCTGTCCTAAGGCCTCTGTGCCCGGCTCTGGGCCACGGGGACTGTAGAGGAGGCCGGGAGTTCCTTATTCAGCTTACAGACAATTTGGGCCATAAGAATTTTTTTGTAAGTGCAACAAAGTTTATAGATCTTTTAAGGGGACAGAGGGAATTTACACTTTGACACTGTGGACAGTTTAAAATACTCAGTTTTCTGCTTCAGGTCCTCCTGTTGCCCTTCCACCAAAAATGTTACATCAGACAAAAATTTAGAAGGGAGAGAGGGTGTCTTAGGCCGAGTGCTCAGGGAAGGGGGCAAAACCTCGGCTAGAGCCCTCAAAGGCAAGCAGGGTTCTGGTAGAAAGGTGAGGAGGGGACAGGCTGGCTAGGTGGCGGCCATGCTTCCTCTGCCTTCCCAGGGATCAGCGGTGTTCCCAGAGGCAGCCTGCGGGGGGCGGCCCTCATCCATGTTTGCTGTTCTATTGCCCTGTGGGTGGGAGAGCCGTCCCTGGTTCTCATGCGTGCGCTCCTCCCCGGGGCTGTTTCTTTCCACCAGGGTGACGGACGAAGTTTTTAACTTCCTGCTGGTGTGGTATTACTGCACCCTGACAATTCGGGAGAGTATTCTCATCAGCAATGGCTCAAGGTAATTGGGGGCCCAGCTTTGTGCGGGGGCGTTGGGGGAGCCAAAGGGAGATCTGTCATGGAAGGGGATGCAGATGAGGGCTGTCACCCTCAGCCTGTATTCCCTTCCTCCGTGGAGGGGGAGGGGTATCCCTGACTGTTCAGAGCCAGGGAGGAGGAAAACTGGGTCTCCTGCTGCGGTGTCACCTCCTGTGGTCAGTCTCCTGCTTACCAAAAAGTCTAACTCAAATAGGTTTAACACAACAGGAAATTTGTTTTCTCCTATCAAGGAACAGGTCCGTTGGGGCTGACTTCAGGTCAAGCTTAATCCAGGTGCTTAGACAATGGCACCAGGACCCACTTTCTCTCCACCCCTCACCTCTGCCTTCTACTGTGCTGTCTTCATTCTCAGGCTCCATGCAGAGGCACCCGGGAGCTCCTGGCTTTATTTCTAGCATTCCCAACAAAATATGGCACCTTGCTGTTTTCCAAGAGTCTTACCAGGTTGCATTGGTACTTGCTGAATCGTGTGCCTGTCTCTGAACCAATCACTGGCCAGAGAATGCATGGCTGTGATTGGTTGGGCTTGAGCCTCATGCCCGCCCTTACAGGCTGTCATTAGAAGCCTAGGGGCGGAGTGTCAGGAGGGCAGTGGATGGGTACCCCAGAGGAAAATTGGGATACTGTCATCAGAGGGATGAATGGATTCTGGTGACAAGAGAGGATGGTCCCCCACAGGGAGATGGGGAGGACGGTGGACATATGGTGAGGGTCTTGGTTCAAACCTGCCTTGTTACTCCCGCAGTGCTGAGGAGGAAGACAGCCAGGCTGGGAGTGAGGGTTCCTGAGTTCTGGTCCCACTGCTGTTCCTGCGCGGCTCTGGGGCCCTGGGCAACTGAAGTCCCCTCTCTGGGCTATTTCACAGTCCCCTGGGGGCGTGTGCCTCCGCGTTCCTGAGTGAATGGAGGCACAATTGGGGGTCCCCACCTCTGAGGGCCTGCAAATACGAGGAGCCCCGCTATTTTGTCATTCTCCTTCCTACGCCACCTGTCTCTGAGCTGAGAGTCTTGGGGCCCAGTTAAGACCACGATTTGCCACCTGCAGGACCCATTTTCCATAGGTCTGATTTCCCCTTGGGGCTAACTGTTTCATCTCTGCGTACCATGCTTGTCCCTATTTTTCCCTGAAACGAAAGGTAACAACCTCCCAGCCCCTCCCTGCTTCCTCCTTCCTGTACGCTAGTAAGGAACTGTCATGAACTGTGTATTTAAGATTGGGGGCGTCTGCAAACCCCTAAATAATTTGCCACCTTTTCACTTTTCTGCCCAGTGGTCTCTTATGGCAGATCCCTGCCCTGCCGGGCCTTAACCTGAAGGTAGAGCCCAGAGGTAAGGACCAGGGGCCCAGTGATTTTTAGGTATGCAGCCCCGTAGCATGTAGCCCGTTAGAAAAGATCAGTGTTTCTCAAACGGCCCTCATTCTTGACCCATCCTCACCATTTTTGACTTTTCCATGTATCATCTGGATGATAATTTTCACATTTTAAATCAACCTCTCCTTTTTTTTTAACTTAAATAAATACTAGTGTATTGTAAAAGGAAATTTTATTTCATCACCATACATGGAAAACCAGCATCAGTTGCAGGAAAGAGGAAGTAGTATAAAAATATCCTTTTGTTTTCCTTGTATAAGTATTGAAGTCAATTATTCTTGCTTCCGGGAGGCTCTGAGCCTGAGGCCTGCTATCTCTGTGTGTTATGTGTATGTAAAAAGGGAGATTAGCGGACCTTGAGAGGCATTAAAGAGACTCTTTCCTCGACTTAATCAGGAGAATAAAGAACTGAACCAATGACCTCTCGCCACGTGGTTCAGTATCATCTGGTGTTACACTCGAGTGTCATCTAAAATTTGGTGGAATGCACCCCATGCTTTGGGAAACACTGAAGTAGAAAATCTTACCAAATAAATAACATTCATAGTCTTTCTTAATTTTAGTGAATAGTATCTTTCTGCTTTTGGGTGTCGTTGGAGGGGAGCCAGGGTGGTAGGTAGTAGGGAAACAGGGCCAGGGTAAGTGGCAAGGCCTCCTTGTTATGAACTCTCTTCTGTTCCCATGGGCTTGCTGTCAGCCTTACAGTTTCATCCTTCTGATGGACTCATATTAAGAGTCTTCAGAGGCATGCTACATCTCTAACAGTCACTAACACTTGAAGAGTTACTCTGGTCAGCTCTTTCTCTAGTGTGACAAGCTGTGGATGGGGGGTGGTGGTGGTGGGTTTCCAGAGGGAAGGGAACAGGACTGAGTGGAGGTCCCTGCAAGTGTGGGGCATACCAGGAAAGTGGGGAGGGGTACACAAGGGGGTAGAAGTGGGGTTCCAAAGCCAGGCCTCATTTGCCTAACACTTCAACTGGTATCTCAAGCTGAAATGGCACTGTTCCTCTGCGCCTATCTCCCTGCTCTGGCCTGGGGCAGGGGTTTGGATGTGGTGGGGGCTGGGGTCTGGAATGGGTGGGGTAGGCTTGGTGCTTTATCTTCTGGAATGAGTGGGAGCTGTAGCGCATTAGCTACGCGCAACAAGCAAATCAAGTTCCCTTGCAAATCCTGCAAATGAGGGAAACTACCTGATAGTAAACATGAAGGGGAACAAGGCATACCTTGTCTAACTGCACTACGTAGATAGTGTTGCTTTTTTTTTTTTTTTTTTTTTTTTTTTACAAATTGAAGGTCTCTGACGACCGTGTGGAGCAGGTCTATTGGCGCCATTTTCCCAACAGCATGTGCTCATTCTGTGTCTCTGTCACATTTTGGTAATTCTTGGAGTATTTCAAACTTCTTCATTATTATTATATTTGTTATAGTGGTCTATGATCAGTGATTACAATTTGCTGAAAGCTCAGATGATGGTTAGCATTTTTTAGCACTATATATTTTTTTGAAGATTTTATTTATTTTAACAGAAACATAGCGAGCGAGGGAACACAAGCAGGGGGAGTGGGAGAGGGAGAAGCAGGCTTAACGACGGAGCCACTCAGGCGCCCCTTTTAGCAATGTATTTTTAAATTCAGGTATGTACATTGTTTTTCTAGAACTGCTATCTCATACTTACTAGACTACAGTAGAGTGTAAACGTAACTTTAGAAGCACTGGAAAACCAAAAACTTCATTCGACTTGCTTTATTGCGACATTCGCTGTATTGCAGTGCCCTGAAAGTGAACCCACAATATCTCTGAAGTATGCCTGTATATCAGTGATGGTTCAAGGAGGTGAAAAGGGCTCACACAGGGGCACCTGGGTGGCTCAGTCGTTAAGCGTCTGCCTTCGGCTCAGGTCATGATCCCGGGGTCCTGGGATCGAGCCCCGCTGTCGGGCTCCCTGCTCCGCGGGAAGCCTGCTTCTCCCTCTCCCACTCCCCCTGCTTGTGTTCCCTCTCTCGCTGTTTTTCTCTGTCAAATAAAATCTTTAAAAAGGGGGGGAGCCTCACACAATGCCAACAGCCCTCCTCCCTGATCTTTTACCCCGTGGAAGCACTGGCTTCCAGCTGCCTACACTACGATCTCGCCAGATCGACAGTCTCACAGGAAAGAGCGCTTGCCTTCGCAGATCCAGTTTTCCTAATTTTGAGACAGATTTCTGATTGGCTTGGCTGAGGTCACATGCTCATCCCTGAGCCAATCAGTGTGGCTGGAGGATGCAGAGCCCTGATAGGCTGGCTCCGAGTCACGTGCCCAGTTATATCCCTCCGCTTCCCCCTAGCTACCCAGACTGAGTGTGGGGATGATGAGGTGGTTCACCCAAAGAAAGGCCTGGCGTGCAACCAGAATGTGGGGGGGTGGAGCGGGGGTGGGGTGATTGACAGAGAGGCAAAACAGCAGATGTCCTCTACAGTTAGTTCTGGGCCAGAATAAATAATGAATCAGGGATCGTGTTAGCTTTTCTGGCCAGCCAGCCCATGGGTGCCTGCTTCCAACTGGCTGTTATAGGAGCCTTTGCTCGGATAAAGCCGTGTACGGCTGTCCAGGAGGGAGGGAGCCTCAGTGTGGAAGCCGTTCCCCCACCTGCCCACGTGACCCGGAGCTCAAAGCCGGAGACAGCCTGTGGTTGCTGGTGCCTGTGAGTGGTACCCACATGCAAACGTGGCCAAGGTGTCCTGAAAGAAGGGCCGTGGTATCCTCGGCACGATTCCCAGATACCAGGCCACGCTACACTGTGGCTGTGTGTGCACCGCTCTTTATTGCGTTTCTCCTGCCTGCTCATTAAAATGCCCATAGGCCCTGCAAGCTTTTTTTCCGTGGCAAAACAGGCCCAAAGAGTGACCACTGATGGGTCTAAGTTTCTTTTGGGGTGATAAAAAATGCCCTAAAACTGATAGTGGTCATGGTTGTACAACTCTGCAAATATACTAAAAGCCGCTGATGTGTATACTTTAAATGGGGGAATTGTATGATATTTGAATTAAGTTACAGTAAAACGATTGCATAAACACATGTGCACAAAACCAGCCCAGCACCCTGCAGTGTGCAGATGGATGAGGGGGCTCAAGGACGCCATGCCAGGGAAGAAGCAATTTCTAGCCTTTCCTAGTGCCGCTGAGCTGTGCTTATTGGGGGCATCTGTCAGAGCTGGGCTCTGGGCACTATGAGCTGTGAAATGAAAAGCAGCTGCTCAGCCAGGCTTGCTGCACAGGTCCTGCGACTGGCTCTGGCCTCCCATGTGGGGAGGGGGCATTTCTCAGGGGGGCTTTGGGGAGCAGGACAGAGGAGCACGGCTTTTGCCAAACCCCCAAGGCTTGTGTGTGGCTCTGCAGAGAACTTGGGGGAAGTGATTGCAGAGAGGTTTCTTGGGTACTCTTCAAGCTGAAGGTCTGAGGATGGGGCTAACTGCCTCTTCTGTCAGAACATTAGAGCCAGGGGTCCGTGTAAACATTGGCAGGCAACCCAGGGACATGGGGAAGGGGAGACTGGGATCAGAGAAGTGGGTGGATGTCTTACCCTGTCCCTCCATGCTGGTGGCATCTAGACCAGCTGCTGCTTCATCAGCCACACCTCCTGGACATCATTTTAGCATTTATTGAGTGCCTACTGTTTACCAGGTGCTGTTAGTGCTAGGAATAAAGAGCCACATAAAACCTTGTTCCTCACCATAACCCTTGAGGCATGCACAGACCATGCCAGAACCCCTAATTTATGTCCAGATTTATTGTGGGATTGCAAAGAGGAGAGATGAGTAAGATCCAGTCTCTGCTTGTGTGATGTCTGCATTCTGGTTGGAACCCACGTAGGACAATGCAAATTAAAACCTCAACAACACACCGATTTTCACCTAATAAGACTGGCAGAAATTTTAAAACTTGGAATCCAGCACTGGTGAGGGTTTGGGGAGCCCAGTTTCTACTGCCCAGTCATTGGGAGGAAGGAGCCCCGCTGCTCCCAGGCTGTACTTGGCAAAGCAAATTGCTGCCCCATTGTGTTCAGGTAACTGAGCTCTGAGACAGGGGCTGGAGAAGGCCAGCAGAGGCCAGAGACAGACTCAAGGACTTTGAAGGGTAAAGGTTGGAGGGTCCAGCTTTCGGCGGAGGCTGAGACATTGACACTGAGGAGGGGGTGACAACGAGGCTCCCTCCCCTGCAATGGGGTGACAGCCCTCAGTTGGGGGAGTACCGGGTTCTGAACCCAGGGTTCCCACAGCTTCTGGACTGGACACAGGAAGTCCAGGGCTGGGCAAGGGCCTGCTGTAGATGGAGGAGCAGATGAGCCCCGGGGGTGTGGGCTCCCAGGGAGCAAGTACGTCTGGGATGCTGAGATGCTGTGTGGGCAGTCTGGCATTTCTCTGTGTCTGTGTGGGGTAACGGAGGTAGCTGCAGCTCTGGGTGAGCATGTGAGTGCGTGCTGTGTTTATTCAACACACTTACTGAGCACCTGCTTTGAGCCAGGTGTCACAGATAACATCGATGAAGAACACAGACAAGATCCCTGCTCTCCTGATGTTTACGTGTGAGCAGGGAAGAGGGTTCAGAGAACAAAGGAAGGGGAAGAAATGAATAATCTGAAATTTCAGATAGTGGTAAGCACCGTGAAGAAACTAAAACAGTAGTGTGACTCAGAGTGGCGCTGCCTGTTTTAGATAAAGTAGCCGGAGAAGGCCTTTTGGAGGAGGTGACAGTTGGTCCAAAACTTGAATTTGGACCACGAACCAGGCAGGCCAAATTCTCGGAGCAGAGAGAACAGCAAGTCCAAAGGCCCTGCTGGTCTGCATGGGCTGCCGTGACAAAATACCACAGGCTGGGGGGCTGGAACAATAGAAATCTATTTTCTCACAGTTCTGGAGGCTGGAAGTCCAAAATCAAGGTGCCAGTCCCACTGGTTTCTCCTGAGGCCTCTCCTTGGCCTGCAGATGCCACGGTGTCTTCATGGGGCCTTTTTTCTTATGACCTCATTTAACCTTACATAAGTTAATATCATACAACATACAAAGTTCCTATCTCCAAATACAGTCACATTCTAAGGTACTAGCCCTAAGGGGGTTAGGACTACAACATAGGAATTGGGGGCGCACACAATTCAGCCCATAACAGTCCCTGAGGTAGCGATGGGCTTGGCAGGTTCAAGGCGAGGACAGGGTGACAGGGCTTCAAGTTGGGGCACGGTGAGGGATGTGCTTTTAGGGTAGCAGGAAGCCCCTGGAAGCCCGTATGCCTCTGTGGGCCTCATGGCTAATCTGTGGGTGGTTTATGTGTGATTGTGCGTCTCTGGAGGACAGAGGAAAGGGCGAAGTCATGGCTTGGGTCTATGTCATGGCTGTTTTGGGGCCACAGAGTAGCCCGTGCACACTTAGTCTGGGAAGCAAGAACCGCCTGTTTCCCTCCCCGCCTGAGCTCCCTTTCCTTCTCTTCTCTTCAAGAATTAAAGGCTGGTGGGTGTCTCACCACTATGTGTCCACGTTCCTCTCTGGAGTGATGCTGACCTGGTGAGTGTCTCATGGGGGCCCGTGAATGGGGAGCTGGCCGTGGGCGAGGGCGTGCCCTCGAGGCTCCTGGCCTGGGCTGACTTTTGGGCCAAGAAGAAAAGGGTGAGCTTACAGCCAGGCCACAGGGATTCCCCCCAAGCCAGCTGGGAGGTTTCTGGGGATGTCCCATTGGTATGCCGGCTGGGACAGAGGTGACAGAGAGCAATGGACAGAAAGAGTACAGAGTTGAGACTCGAAAGGAGACAGATGGAGAGAGTGGGCATCAGCAAGAATTTAGGCTTCAGAATGATGATATAGGCCCCCCTGCTTCTAGAACAGGCTTAAAGAAATGAAAGTAACTGGTCCAGCCCCAGGGGCACTGGTGCTAAAGAAGGGCAGAAATCAGGGACCTCCATTTCATTTTAAAAGCTTTTCTTCTCGGGGTGCCTGGCTGGCAACTTTTGATCTCAGGGTCGTGAGTTTGAGCCCCACTTTAGGTGTAGAGATTACTTAAATAAATTTTTTTTTTTTTTTTAATTAAAAGCTTTTCTTCTCTCTTGGCTGGAACGGAGAGGGGCAGGGATGAATGTTTGATTTCACAGCACATTTCACTTTTACTTTTCCCCACTTCTCTGCAGGCCCAACGGACTAATTTATCAGAAGTTTCGTGATCAGTTTTTAGCGTTTTCCATTTTTCAGAGTGAGTGCCTCTTGCCTCGATTCGGGGGAGGGGGTATGGTTTCCTGGGCTTTCACTGATGGAGGCCCCCGTCATCCCTACCCCCTGTGAGGGGCGTGTCTAGTGTGGAAGGGAGCTTGGGGCAGGGGAGGGTCCCAGAAATCCAGCAAAGAGCTGTCTGCCCCCAGATCACCGCCCAGTCCTGGGGGAGGGGCGGCCTGATCACCCCCACCCCCAGGAGCCCCCATCACTGCCTTTTCTTTCCCATGTCACAGCTGGGGACCAATGGTGACTTTTGGGAATTGCGTAGTGTTGGGGGCACTACCTCAAAATGGAAATAGAGCATATGTTCTTTTTCTCATTTGAGAATAGCTCTGGATTGGGGCTCCTGGCTGGCTTAGTCGGTAGAGCGAGAGACTCTTGATCTTGGGGTTGTAAGTTCAAGCCCCACGCTGGGTGTAGAGGTTGCTTAAAAATAAAATCTTAAAAAAAAAAAATAATAGCTCTGGATTTATATACAGTGAACTGGTCCTAGGGGTCCCCTCTGAGAAGGGGGGGCTTGGATAGTTGGGGATAGGGACAGAAAGAGGGTTTGTTTTTTTTTTTTTTCCCTCAGGAGCATGTTTATTGTGTTTGAGATGATACATCAGGTACTCTCTGAGCTACAAAGGGGTAAAAGGAAATCCTCTCATTACAAACTGACAAAGGTAAAAGGTAAAACATTTTTCACAACAGCATGAACCACATACTCAGAAATAGATCTGGGTTTAATACAAATGACATAATTCCTAGTCATCTACAGCTACTTTTATAACTTCATACAGATAATGAATTAGGCTAAAATGCACTATAATATTTGGTAGACTTCAGGACCAGTATCCTTAGTACATCACAAAATACATTTTGATATCCCAAAGAAGCAAGACTTGCAGGTAGGCGTTTTAAACGTAACTAATCTACAGCTACAAAGTTCTACTCTTGATAGCATTTACCTTTTTGGGGAGTCTCCCAGTCTCCAAAGGGTAAAAGCAGAGAGTAGAATCAGTATAACATATACACAGAAGTCCGTATTGTAAAGAGAGTTTTGTTTTTTACCAAGTACTTGTTTGTTCCCTTTGAATTTTGTGTGCATATTACTGATTCAAAAAATACAATTTTTAAATAAAACCCTGCCAACAAATACAAGTCTCTAATGCCAAGAATGAAAATTATATATAATCTCAGCGTTAAGAGTGATCACTTTTAATAGATCTATGTCCTTTCAGTTTGATTCATATATACATATATACTGCATTATGTAGTCTATAAATATGGGATCACTTTGTACAAATAGCTTTGCTTACAATCTGTTTATTTTTCTTTTAACAATAATGATGGGTATTTTTCTGTCGATACACAGAATTCTACCTCCTCATTTTTAGTAACTACTAAGTATCCCATTGTTTGAAAGTGTCTCTTGCTGTCTTGGCATTACACACAGCTCCTGGCATGGTGCCAACCATCCCAGCAAGCGTCTGCTCTAGAAGTTTCCAATCTCATTGGTGCTTAGTTGGGTCTTCAGATAACCTACTCCCGTATTCTGGATAAGGGATAAAGTGGGTTCAGGCTGAAGTGTGTGTGTGTGTGTGTGTGTTGGGGTGAGAGAGGGTTGCCCTTTGGCCTGGAAGACCTCTGGGTCTGCGCAAAGTGGGTTCAGGCTGAAGTGTGTGTGTGTGTGTGTGTGTGTGTGTGTGTGTGTGTGTGTGTGTTGGGGTGAGAGAGGGTTGCCCTTTGGCCTGGAAGACCTCTGGGTCTGCGCGGAGGTGGCGCCCAGTCCTCCAGGCCCTGAGCCAGGCGCTGTGCTCCCCCTGCAGGCTGTGTCCAGTTCCTGCAATATTATTACCAGAGGGGCTGCCTCTACAGGCTTCGTGCCCTGGGGGAGAGGAATCATCTGGACCTCACCGTGGGTGAGTAACCCAGCCTGGGGAGGGGAGATGGGGTGGGGGACAAGTACCGGCCCCTCCCTGCTCCCCCAGACCTCACTGCTAACTTCCTACACTGGGAGCATGAGCCAGTAAGAACATAACAAGACCTACCACACACAAAGCCAGGGTTTCAGGCCTCTACCTAAGTTGCTTTTCATAATTCATCATGGATTCTGTTTCCGCCGACAAGTTTGAGGCCAGCTGTGAGCCAGGCCTCGATGCTTCTGTCTCATCCTTTTTAAATGTCTATTTTTTTGGTCTGTGTTTTATAATACACATAATTATATATGCATAAATATATATGCATGTTGTTGTGCATGTATAACTTAATGTGTATAATATGCCTACATATAGGGGCGCTGGGGTGGCTCAATCTGTTAAGCATCTGACTCTTGATCTCAGCTCAGGTCTTGATCTCAGGGTCATGAGTTCAAGCCCCGAGTTGGGCTCTATGCGTGGAGCGTACTTAAAAAAAAAAAAAAATCTGGCTACGTATAAATATGTATAGACACATACATGTATATACATTGGGAATGTGTGCTTAACTATTTTTATATATATGTATACACATATATATTTTTTAGAGGGAGAGCAAGGGAATGTGGTGGGGAGGGTCAGAGGGGGAGAGAGAAAATCCTTTTTTCTTTTTTTTTTTAAAGATTTTATTTATTTACTTGACAGAGAGAGACAGAGAGAGGGAACACAAGCAGGGGGAGTGGGAGAGAGAGAAGCAGGCTTCCCGCCGAGCAGGGAGCCCGATGCCGGGTTTGATGCGGGGCTCGATCCCAGGACCCTGGGACCATGACCTGAGCCGAAGGCAGGCGCTTAACGACTGAGCCACCCAGGCGCCCCGAGGAGAGAGAAAATCTTGAGCAGGCTGCACACTCAGCTTGGAGCCCGACTTGCGGCTCAATCTCAAGACCCTGAGATCATGACCTGAGCCGAAATAAAGAGTCGGACACTTAACCAACTAAGCCACCCAAGCACCCCTGTGCTTAACTTTTTTTAACTCATGGGTCAAGTGCCCAGTCAGAAGAGCTTGGAGAGCTCTTGTCTCAACTTTCACAGGAAACTAATAAAATTCTGCCATCTTTTTTTTTTTTTTTAAGATTTTATTTATTTATTTGAGAGAGAGAGAATGAGAGAGAGCACGAGAGGGAAGAGGGTCAGAGGGAGAAGCAGACTCACTGCTGAGCAGGGAGCCCGATGTGGGACTCGATCCCGGGACTCCAGGATCATGACCTGAGCCGAAGGCAGTCGCTTAACCAACTGAGCCACCCAGGCGCCCAAAATTCTGCCATCTTTTGAGATGGTCATTTCTACTGAATTACTCTGCAAAGTAGGCCCTACTTTGTCAAGACTCAATTGCAGTGACACGTGCAAAAGTCCATTATAAAAAGCAAAATTCCATGCAAATTAAAGACCTTATTAAAAACCAGTGCCTGGCACGTCAGCTTTCTCGAAGTGCTGTCAAGCCCTGTGAGTTCGTGGTGACTTGTGGGAGAGCAGCCAGGGCCCGTGGCAGGTGTTGTGCATGCTCTCTGGCTGATCTTCAGAGTTGAGTGCTCACCCACTGATGATAGGTGAGGGCTGTCCCCCCTGCCCCATGTGGCTAATCTTGGGGGACTGGCATGGCCAGGCAGTTGGCGCTTGGTGGGTGGTGGGGGCGCCGGAACCCCCTCCCCCCGGCCCTTTGCGACCTGCTTCTCTCCACAGAAGGGTTCCAGTCCTGGATGTGGCGGGGCCTCACCTTCCTCCTGCCTTTCCTGTTCTGTGGCCATGTGAGTCCCCTGGAGTTTGTGGGGATCCCCTGTTCTGGGCTGACCCCTGGGAACAAAAAGTCTTCAGGCCTCTCCCTCATTCACCAGCCATCCCTGAGCTGGGCCCCACGGGGTCCTGGGGCAGTGACGGCCCCTGGGCCCTGGATGCCAAAGGCAGAAGCTGGAAGTGGCCCGTAGCACCAGCATGCTGAACCCCAGATCTTCAGGCTGCTCTGGCCTAGGGTGCCCCAGTTTCATTTTGGGGGGCTCTCAGTGTCTTAGGACAGTGGATACCAGAAGCTGGGGGCCTGGTCCACTCCCGGGGCTTTCTCACATGGGTCTCCAGGGGAATCAGTTGGGGTGAGTGGTGCCTGCCTCCTCCCCTCTTTCCAGTTCTGGCAGCTCTACAATGCCGTCACGTTGTTTGAGCTCTCCAGCCACGAGGAATGCAGAGAATGGCAGGTATGGTGTGTGTGTGTGCGTGTGTGCGTGTGTGCACGCAGGCGTGTGCATGTGCCGGTGGTGCGGGCGGCAGGGGGTGGTGGTCCTGGGGAAAGCTGGGCCAGCTTGGAGAGAATTCTTAGCCACCCCTTTACTCCCCAACATGGGGCCCAGTTGCCCAGAGCTCCCTGCTACTGGGGCCTGGGAGACTGTGGGAGGGAATTCTGGAGGCCAGGGAGCCCCTAAGTGGTCTGAGAACCCTATTGAACGCTATGGGGGTGCCGAAGGAGAAGCCCTCCTGGGCCCTGCATGACCCTGAGGACTCACACCCTTCATGCAATTGGCCCAGACCTCTGCTTTCTGCTGTGGGAACTCTGCAGTTTGCTGGTGGCTTGTGCTAAGGGGCTTGTGAGGTCGCGGGGTGGGGGGTGGGGTGGGGGTCGGGGGTGGGCAGGGGGGCATCTCGGCGGGGAGCTGATCGGAGCTGGCTCAACCTTTTCTTCCTTTCCTCTCCTCCCCCTGCCGCCCCGTCCGGTCCCCTCGCACGCCCCTGCCCAGGTGTTCGTGTTGGCGCTCACGTTCCTTGTCCTCTTCCTGGGCAATTTCCTGACCACACTCAAAGTCGTGCACGCGAAACTTCAGAAGAACAGAAACAAGGGGAAGAAGCTGTGAGCCAAGGGACCCGTGCGCTCCCCCCCACAGCCTCCGGGGTTCAAGACTGCGGGGCATTCCAGCTGGCACGATTTCTCCCCACGGTGTCTGTGGCTACTGCCAGCAGCCGGCTCAGGGGCCAGCGCGGGGCTGGGGGGGCGGGGGGGGGCAAGGCCCCGGTCCCCGGCAGACAAGGGCAGTGTGACCCCTGCCTGTCCGCACGGCGCTCGCCTGCCCCAGCCTCCCTGTTTATGACGTATTACTATGGGCTCCTCCCGACTGCCCTAGAACCTGCAGTCTTCCCTCGCTGCCGTCTTGGCTGCGGCTGAGCCTGGGTCAGTCTTCCTGGGGTGGGGGTGGGGGGGCCTAAAGCCTCAGGGAGCCCCTCAGGTTGGGGTCTAGGGTGCCCACCGGCTACTTCGTGATCCCCAGCGGGCGGAAGGAAACCCCTCGGCGGCCTGTGGAGCCTCCCGCCCCGGGGCCCACCGCTTCTGCTGTAAGCTCTCCACGCTGCTCCGCGGTGGGGCTATTTAAGTTCTCGGAGAACCACTGTCTGTCTGTGCCTTCTGCTCTTTGCGCTCCCCGTCTCCAGCCTGCCCGCCACCTGCGCACAGCTGCCCGCCCTCCCCGACGGCGTGGCCCCTGGGGTGGGCCCGAGGCGGGACGGTTTGCAGTGACCACCAGAGGACGCCCCAACCTCGGCATCCCTCGGGTGGTTTGAGGGGTTTTTTTTGTTTGGTTTGTTTTTTTTTGACACTTGAGTTTGGCTTCCTGACCCCCACCCCTCAGCCCATTTCCCGGAATTCTTGCATTGAGTTCTCAGAGAGTGGGTCTTCAGCGCTGGCTGAGACTTAAGGCATCATGGAGCTTGCCCACCCTCCCCGCCTTCCTCCCTTCCCCTCAGGTTCTGGAATGTGGTGGGGAGAGTCTGAGCAGGCTCCCTTCCAGGAGGTGGCACCCGAGAGGCCAGGACAAGACTGCTGGCCACCTTGTGTCCAACTCTGTATTTGTGGGAGGGTGAAGAAGCTAGCAGATTCGGTTGAATGTTCTGCCCCTGCTCCCTACACCAGCCGCAGCCTTTCTCCCACACGTGGGTCTCAGCTACCCTTAACTACCTCCCTACAAATCCCCTCTGACCAGAGTTCACAGCCCGTGTCCATAGTCATGCTTTGGCCCCCAGAGGAGTTGAAGCTTTAATGGTTTTTTAAAAAAAATATGAAATTTCCCTTCCACCCCAGTAAGAGTCGACATAAAAACCCAGATTTCTACCTTCCCTAGAAAAATGGAAAGCTCTTGGCTGGGCTGAGCTGCCTGCCTGGGATGGGGTGCTTGCTTTCTAGTGTGCCACAGACCCCACCACTCCCTTTTATACCTGTCCTCTTTCCCTCACTTGGGTCTTCCATCGGGCCCTGAGGCACTCGGGTTTTCCTTGGACTAGGAGTCGGCAAACTTTCTGTAAAGGGCCAGATAATCTGCCACGGTTTGCCTCGTCTGCAGTTCTAGGGCCAAAGCAGCCAATGCCCAAATAAATGAGTGTGGCTGTGTCCCAACAAAACTTTATTTACAAAAACACACAGCTGCCAGATTTGGTCCACAGAGTATGGTTTCTAACCTCCATCCTGTACTGTCACTTGTCCGTGAGCCCTTGGATTGAGTGCTCTTTGGACTCCCCAGGGCATGGCAGGGCCTTGGGGAACCGGGGTGGGGTGAGGTGGGATGAGGTGGAATATAGGAGTGTCTCTCTAGCAGCTGACGTCAGAGGGGCTCAGGCTTAGTAGGTGCTGAGGCAGGAGATCCCTGGGAGGGCAGGAGCCACCTCAAGCCATTATCCCAGGTTCAGTAACACTGACTTGTAGCTCACTCAGGAAGCAAACAGCTCTCAATCTCCGGGGCAGTGGCATCACCTGAAGCACTTGTTTAAAAACTCCTGGCCCCAGACCTTCCAGAAGGTTCAGTGAATCTGCAGCTGGGGGTTGCGTGTTCTCGTAGGAAGCCAGGATAGTCTCAGCTTGGCAGAAGTGGGGGCTGTGAGGGGCAGGAGGGAGCGTGATGACTATTAAAATGAGTCAGTGCTGTCCTTTTGCAGATAGGGAAACCGTCTGTAGAGAGAAGGGACTTGCCCATGATCATTCGGGGCTGATGTCACTTTTTGTCTTGAGTTTCCGGCAGTGGGGGGTTGCAGGTGAGGAGCCCCTGGGCAGGGGCTGGATGGGTGGTCCGGGGTACTTTCTGCTTCTTGAGAGAGTCTCTTCTCCCCCTTGGGCATGTGCACCCAGCTCTGGAAAGATGGCAGCCCAGCCAAAGGCTGAGACTGAAGTCCTCTGGGGGTGAGGGGTGGGGGCCGGTGCCAGCCCCCAAGTCCGGGGCTGGTGTGTGTGCTGTCCCGATAAGTCCCTGTCCCATTGTGGCCCCCGTGTTCCTGGAGGAAGGAAGCCAGAAGCTGGAGGATGCAGCCGTGCCTATCTCGAGCCCAGGGAGGCGGGTGACGCGGAGTAGCAGGCTTGAGGGGGGCCGTGTGGAGCGCTGACAAATCCACATTTATCCACGTACCAGATGTAGTTGTTTGTTTCAAGCACAGGCTTTCAGGACCTATCGGGTGTGCAAAGGGGGAACACACATGGCTGGGGGGAGGCTGTGTACTCCCGAGTCCTAGGGACAAATGCTGGTTCTAGGGTACAGAGAGACTGAGTCTGGCACCCTCACCCCCCTCCATGCAGGCCCAGCTCCCGGGGGAACCCGGAGGTGAGTTCATGGTCAGAGCCCCAACTGGGGAAGGAGAGATCTCCAGAATGTTCTAAGAGTCTAGCCACAGGCTCCAGACACAGGGAGACACCCAACTCAAAGTGCCGCTGGGAAGCTGGGGACGGAGCAGGATCTCGGGGTGCAGTCCGGGCCTGGCAGCCTGGGCCCTGTCAGTCTTGCATGAGGGCTGTGTGCCCTGCCCGGAGGGGTCAGAGCAGCAAACACAACGGGCGTTTCTGCCGCTGTGCTTTCTTCAGAGCACTGAGGGCAACCTTGGCCGCCGCTCGGAAGACATCCTCCACGTTCTCCCGAAACTTGGCAGAACATTCCAGGTAGAGGGCGGCTCGGATCTGTTCGCAGGCACTCTGGCCCTGGGGAGCGGGGAGGGGCCGGCATTAGATGAGGGGCCTGGAGCATGGGGCACCTCCTGACACCCTCCCCCATGGATTTGGGAACTTGGAGCTGGCTTTGGGGGCTCTCCGAAGGGAGGGCGGTCTTGGTGAGGAGCCCCCTTCCCCCCATCTCAGGCCCAGCCCCCAGCAGTGTGTGTGGATGGAACGGAAGGGCCTGTGTGCGGCCCACGGGCTCCGGCGGTGGCGGCGGGAGAGAAGCCCCATCCTGCCTCTACCCTGCCCTCCCTCCCACCTCAGGCCCCATTTAGGCAATGGAACTGGCGAGGACACTAAAAACTAGCTCTACTTCTAAAATTTACTTTTATTAATGCTTCTTCCTTTTTATTAAACTTTACTAGTTTTCCTTTGTGTTCCTTTTATTGTCCCATGCCTCGCCCAGAAAAGCCGCGGGGTTTGGTTTTGCCCAGGACTCTCACGGGTAGGGGACCCCTGCTCTCGAACAAGGCCTGCCCCTCCAGTCCCCTGGGGCGGACGGGACAGGATCCTGGCTACGCTGCACGTTAGCTGTATGACTCTCAACCTCTTCACCCCTCTGGGGCTCAGGTTCCTCCCGTAAAACAGGGGATGCGAACAGTCCGCGCCTCCGGGTTATAAGGATGAAATGAGGTAGGGAAGCAGAGGGAGGGGGAGCGTGGAGACCCCTTCCTGACCTGCATGTAGGTGATGGGCTCCAGCTGGGCGGCCCGGAGCTTCCGAAGCTGCTCCTTGTCTTTGCGCAGGTCTGTCTTGCAGCCAATGAGCACCATGGGAGTCCCACGGCAGAAATGTGTGACCTCAGGGAACCACTGCGGAGGGAGAGGGCAGGCGTCAGGGCTGAGGCCAGATCCGTGGGCCCCACCCCTGAGGCAGGCTGGCTGGGTCACGGGCCTCACCTTGATGAGGACGTTGTCATAGCTGGTGGGGTTCATGACGTCATAGCAGATGAGCACGAGGTGGGTGTTCTGGTAGGACAGGGGCCGCAGCCGGTCATAATCTTCCTGCCCTGAAATGGGAGAGGAGGTAGGGGTCAGGGAGGCACCACCTCCTTGTCCACCTGAGTCCCCTGTCTGGGCTCTGTCCCCAAGGCCTCGGGTTGCTCATCTGTAAAACAGACGTGGCAGCCCACAGTAGCAAAGGTTCCAGGAGACAAAACCCATGCGGTGCTCAGAACCGGGTCTGATTACAGGGTTATCAGGAGAAGCTGGAGAACCTGCTAGCAATTATGTCCATGGCAATTACTGCGCCACCCGCCGCCGCCCCCCCCCCCCGGCCAAATCAACTCCCCTCCGGGAAGAAGGTTGGGGGGGCTGGGTGGGACCAGGCCACTGCAGGATCTGGGAGGGGACCCCCCAGGCCGAGAGGCGGGGCCTTGGGTTGAATTCCTCCTGCCCTTCTGGCACACCCCAGGAGGAGAGTGCTGGGTGGCTGGGCACAGCTGCTGTCAGGCTCACCTGGGGAGTCGGCTGGTGCTTGGCCCTCCCCTGCACCGACTGAATCAGACGCCGAGGCTGGGTGTGGTTTTTTAATGCTTTTTAGTAATTTTTTTAACTGACAATTTCAAACTTACGGAAAAGTTGCAAAAAGGGTGCCAAGAACTCCCTCAGATTCCTGAGTATTTACATGTTGCCCCACTTGCCCTTTGTACACGTAAAAACACTTGAGCAGGCGAGAGTCATTGCGTACATTCTGCAGCTTCACGCGGATCTCTAAGAACAGGCGTGTCCTATCACCTCCTGTAGAACTAGCAAGCTGGAGCAACCACCACGGACGCTGGGCTCTAACCCAACCCACGGGCTGCACTCAGATCTCAGCGGTGATGTCCTGCGGTCGTTCTGCCCCGTCCAGAAGCAGGCCCAGGATTATGCCCTGCCCTGAGTCACGGGTATGCCCTACTATTATTTAAAAACTCCCCCAGTGAGAACTGAGAGCCTTTTGGGCTCCCTGGCAGCTCTCCAGCCACCTCTGCAAAGGCAGAAAGGTGACTTTCTTCCAGGACTTGGAACACAGAGGCCCAGGAGTCCCCTGCCCCTCCCCCCACCCTGGGGGTGCCTGGGTGGTGCCAGCCTGCCCTCCTGCTCCCTCCCTGCCAAAGCTGGCCTCTCCATTGAGCAAGGACAGGCCACATCCTCGTCCTGGCCCCCAGCTGCTGCTAGGGACACTGCCACACTCTGCCTTCCCCCTGGCTGTCCCTCAATCCAGGACCCCTGCGGTGTGCAGTGTGACCGAGACTCACAGCTAGGACAGAGGCTGGGCCGGGAGGACTCCATGCTGCCATTCAGCCAGAGTCCCCCCAACACTGTGGAAGGAGTGAGGGACTGTCAGGGACCGGCCGACTCAGACTCTTCTGCCCTCATCACCAAGCTGGAGAAATCCTTGTAACTGCTGGGAAACCCACCCAGGATGCTGCTCCAGCCCAGCTCCTCCAAACTGTCCCCTCTCCTGATCTTGGTCCACGTCCTTCTAGACGTGCTGTCCAATGGGGTAGCTGCTAGCCCCATGCGGCTATTTAAATTAATTAACATTAAAAATTCAGGTTCTCCATTGCACCAGCTACATTTCAAGTGATTAATTGCCACACAGGGCTAGTGGCTCCCGGGACGGGCAGTGCGGGTGCAGGACATCCCATCGCTGTAGAAAGTTCTATTGGACAGCATGGCACCATCCCCGTCCAAGCCACCGCTGGTCTCCCATGATCTGCTGCTGCCCCTCAACAATCCATTCTCCACCTGGCAGCTGGCTGGATCTAAGACATAAGGAAGATCCTGCCTCTCTCCCTCCAATGAAGACTACTTTCAATAGCTCCCTATTGCCCTTTGTATAAAATCCAAACATCTCCCAAGGGTCCACATGACCTGGCACCCACAGACCTGACCTTTCCCCCACCAAGCCCCCCGACCCCTGCTGTTTCTCAAACCCACCAAGCTCTTGTGCCCCAGAGCCTTTGTACTTGCTGTCCCCCCCGCAACCTGGAATGCTTTTCCTACTCACCCCCCCCATTTTCTTCTTAGCATTTTACTTTAAAACACTCAAACTGAATGTCCACATTATTTTCCTTTTCAGGATAATTGTCTTCTCTCTACCGCTTCACAATAACACCACTTTATGCTTTATACGCTTTTTAGAGCGCTTCTGCCTATGAACCGTTAAGAAATCCTTACAGTCATCACCTGATGGGCTAGACAGGAAGTGAAGAATATTTCCATTTACACAGAAACTGAGCTTCAGAGAAGTGACTTGCCCGAGGTCACTGCCGCAGCCGCCCAGCCGGGTCCTGGTCGAGCACTCCTTCTGCTGATAGCCAGCAACGCTGTTTTGCTTTGCATTGTGCCAACATAGGTTCTGGGCCCCTACGACGTAACCATGAAGCTCCTACTTCTGGTACAATGTGCATGTCTAGTCCCCGTTAGAAATCTGGCGGGAGTGGACAAGTAGCTGTAAAATGGGCCTCCTGTGCTCTGTCGGCTTCCCTCATCCTGACCGGCGGGCTCCTCAGAGAGGCCTTCCCTCACCACGCAGCATCTGCCCCCCGCCCCGGGTGTCCACAACCTGGGCCTGTCTCCCTGGGTCCTGTCAGCACCCTGAGCGCAGGGACCACGTCTGTCCTTAAAAATCATCCCTGGCGCCTGGCAGGCGTCCAGTCAGGCCTGGCTGCTTGCTGCCTGAAGCCGTGCCGCTCTCGTCAGATGCAGCAGAGAGCAGGGCTGCGCGGGGCCAGGGAGTTTAGCAACTCCGGCTGGGGAGGATTTCAGTGCGCTGGCTGGAAGGAGGAAGTCAGACTGAGCCCCCCTCCCCCGCGGCCTTTGCCCTTGCCTGTCCCTCGTCCCTCTTCGAAAGGTTCTTGCCCAGGTAGCAGCATGCCTTGCTCCCTCCTTTCCTTCACGTCTCTGCAGAAACGTCACCTCCTCCGGGAGAGCTTCCCTGACTACTGCCCCACGCCGGACCATAGCTCTATTATTCTTCCGAGTACGTGTCACTCCCTGCTGCTGGGATTTGGTTTGGTTTTGTCTGCCCCATGAGCAGAGAAGCCCCTGAGGACAGTTACAGCCCCTGGGACACAGGCGAGCTCAGTAACTGTTGGGTGAATGAACGAACAAACACATGAGTGTGTGAATATGGGCTAATGATAACCTTTCTGGCTTTCAGCAAGGGCATTTCACTTCGGTCACCTGTGTTCATTGAAGCAGGCACCCTGGGAGGCACGCTAGGCCGAGAAAGTTCTTCCTGTAAGGAGTCCATGTGGCTGAGAGGGGCCTTTTCCTTTTTTTTTTTTTTAATTTTTATTTGTTTGACACAGAGAGAGAGACAGTGAGAGAGGGAACACAAGCAGGGGGAGAGGGAGAAGGAGAAGCAGGCTTCCCGCGGAGCAGGGAGCCCGATGCGGGGCTCGATCCCAGGACCCTGGGATCATGACCTGAGCGGAAGGCAGACGCTTAACAACTGAGCCACGCAGGTGCCCTGAGAGGGGCCTTTTCCAAGGTCATAGACAGGTTCCCTGTGAGCTGGAGCGCCAACTCAGTCAGCTCCAAGGTCAGTGTCTGCCACGCCACTCTAAAATTGCCAAAAATTCTCTCAGGAAGCCTTTCCCGGACTTCCCAACTGGGAATCGACCTCTGGACCTTGTTGCCTTACAAATGGTTTCCTCACCTGTGAAATGGGTATGTGAGAAGCAGGTGAGCCTTGATAACGATACTAAAAAGAGTGAATATCAACAACATGTTAGCAATAGGCTCCCTCGTTATGAAGGCTCATTATGCTCACTCATGGCTTCACTTGAAGCCCGTTGCCTGCACTAACCCGTCATTCCTCATTACGATGCTAACAAGGTAGGGCTCTTGTCATCCCCATTTTACAGATGCAGAAACTGATGCACAGAAAGGTGAAGTGAGTCGCCTTAAGGTCACACAGCTAAGGGGACGCTCTGTAAAAGAGAGAGGACCAAGGTAAGACTACTGGGGGTGCCTCTACCTTAGTCCACTCCAGAGGGTAGGGAGCTGTCCTGACCCTACAGCCCCAGGCCTGACCAAAAGGCTGCCAACACAGGTATCTCGAAAGAGAGAGGGGGGCTCTGGGAGGGAATGGGCAGCCAGCCCAGATCCTAGCTCTCTCCTCCAGGCTGCCTTCCTGACTTGACTGTGCCTGGCTCAACTTTTCCCAAGATTCAGTGTGGACCTCCATGTGGGGACCAGGCCTGCAAATGATGGACATGTTGACCTCATGTCCCCTTGGGAGATGTGGAGGGTCCTGGACGCCTCTCCTGTAGAAGTCAGGAGAAACAGGCTACACTCAGACTCACGTTCTGTGACCTGGGTGCCTTCCCTCTCTGGACCTCAGTTTCCTTATCTGGCAGAGGGGGTGATAGCCCTGCCCCTGATACTGGAAGTAAAGGACTTGTAGGCTAAGCAGTGCTGAACAAAGGTGAAGGACTGTTACTAGGGTTACTATTAAGACAGAAACTTCCAGGGCCTGGGGGCCTGGGCGGGGCTCTAACCCCAGATCTTCAGACCCACAAGCTTTAGGGGGCCCCCCAGGCACAAGGTGATAGTATTACCCTCCCCATTTACCCACACTGATGCCAAGACTTAAAGGGGCCAAGTCACCTGTCCAGTGGCACTCCGGGGTCCCACTCTGGCCTTTGCAGATGGGCTTGCACGGAGTTACGTGCAAAGGGATGCATTTGTTTCTAGCAAGGAAAGGTCTTCTGGGCCACAGCTCGCCTTGAAGTGGCCCATTTTCCTGAAGCTGGTGGGGCTGTGGGGCGGGGAGGAAGTGAGGCTCTCTCTCACTTAGCACAAGGGTTATTTCCTTTGTGGGGAGGAGCTTTGTTGTGTCAGTCACTTTCCAGGGGCAGGGGTCTCTAAGGCCTGGAGCTAGGCTGAGAAGAGGGTGTCACTGGGCCACAGTGATCCCCATATCTGCTGGCCATAGAGAGAGCAGGTGGTTCCCAGCTCCAGCCAGGGCGTTGGTCAGGGGAGGGGCGCAGGCCACATGAGAAGGGGAAGCTGCCAGAAGAGGAACCCACTTACTGCTATTGGGGTCCGCCCACCGGCGTTTCCTCCCCAGAGGCGGGAGCAGCTGGGGCAGCCCCAGCCTGGAGCCCACGTTCTGACTGGCCCGCAGCTTCAGCTCTTCAAGCCCCCAGGGCTTCTGGCTTTGACATCCCTCTGCTCCCTGATTCCCTGTCTCAGCAACTCCTTTGCGCACCCCCCCCACTGTTCCTATTGTTCCCATCTCAGGCTGGGAAGGGGACCACAGCTCCCCACCTCCTGGACCACCCCCATCCCGTCCTGTGACGCCCCACCCCTGGACCTCACCCCAAGGCCCAGAGAGCTCCATCTCTAGTTGGTGTCTTAACAACCCACCTTGCCCCCACCTCCTCTGCCCAGGAAACTTCAGACTGCACCACAGCTTCCTGCCTCTGAGGGTGTCAGGGCCCACAGCAGGCAAGGCTGCTAGGGCAAAGTGCTCACTGTGTCCGCCTCCCCTTCCACCTGTCAGCACGGAGAGCTCTGTCACCCCTCCAACCAGCCTCCCACTGCTGTGGCATCTGTATCTGCTTCTGCAGGATGGAGACAAGCAGCCAGACTGGTCTCCCAGGGGCCACCCCTGTCCCATAGCTCTGGTAACTGGCGGTTGGCTGGAAAGATGCTACTCTGCACCCCCCCCCGTGGGGGTCTAGCTCAGCAGGTTCCAGAACCTTCTACAACAACCTTTATGAGACTCGTCTCCAGCTCAGCCACTCCCCTCACCCCCTTAGTCTCTTCCTCTACTTGATCCCCTGGCCCTCCTTTTTTGCCACTGATTTTTAATCTCTATCCGCCACGGGTAGAGACGGTTTCACTGCCTTTATCATTCTCCAGGAGCACCTCTGCCTCCAAATCTCTTTTGCATTCGTTCCTCAGGCACCGTGCTGGGTGCTGGCATATGGAAGAGGAATGACCCAGTCTCTCCTTCACGGTCCTTGAGACAGGGCTTCCTGGGTCACAGCGGGACACCCCGGAAGGAGTGGCCACGTTTCTTTCTCCCTGAGTATTCCTCCTTGGGCTGTCCTGCTGACCGTGAAGTCTGTCGACTTCCCTAGGACTCCACTGAGTCGTTCAACCCCCAGCTCTGTTTCTCTGCGGCTTGCCAGAGTCCTTTGGGGAGGGTGGGGGGAGGCAGCTCGGAGCTCTGCAGGCCTTCGATTCAGAACAGGTTGGGCTTGGGTCTGAGCCTGAATGGCCGGGCGGGGGTTGGGGGTGGGTGGCCTTAAAAAATCATGACAACACTTATTCCTTCCCAACAGCCGACCCCTGTGTTACACATCACATGGGTCTAGTGTAATCCTCGAGACTTAGTTAGCCCTGATTACTGATGAGGAAACTGAGGCCCAGATGACACATAGCCAGGGAGCCAGCATCTAAGCCCAGGTCTGATTTCAAAGCATGGGGCAGGAAGATCATCATCGCTGCGGTGGCCCCGTGCCTCTGATGATTGGGCCTGGAGCCCCTCCAATTCCTCCTTCAGCAGCTGTGAGCACAAATTCTTCTTACACCAAATGGAAACCTTCCGGAACCTCCACACCACAATCTGCCCTAACATGTTCTTTGAGCATCTTTCTCTGGCCGAGGCCACAGAGGCCAGAAATGGTCCCTGTGCTGGGTCTGATGGGGGAGGCTTCCATGAACAGTGAACCCTAGGGATCTGATAGGAGAGGCCCTGAGGTCCCAGAGGACGGAGGAGAGTGAAAACCATCCTGTGAACTCTCCCTGCCTCACCAGCACCTCACCCACAAAGTGGGGCTGATGGGCTTGCCCCTCCCTGGGTCCCCGACAGGAACTATGTGAAACTAAAAGTATCCCAGACACACTTAAGTTTTACTGCTCTTATGGCTACGCCCCTGGGGAATTTCTCAGCAACCTTTGGCTTTCTCAGTTCACAGGGCTGGAAGCAGGGCCCTGTTCAAGGGGCAGAGGTTTGGGGCCCTCATCCAACAAGGGGGGGGGTCCTTAGAAGCCACTGTAGGGTGGGTCCCGCCATACAGTAAAGGCTGCTGAAGTCAGGAACGGAGGAGGGGTCTGGGGATGGGACGATCCCTTTTCTGATTCTCTCCAGGGTGGAGTGAGAGATGCTACTCGCTGCCTTGGGGTGGGGCAGTCTGGCTTTTGGCTCCATCCAAGGCTAGTGGAGACTTCCCCTCACATGGACAAGGCTTGGCTGGCAGTGGACAGGGCACCTGGTGACGTGGTTCCACACAGGTCACTAAACACTGAGTCAGAGAGGTTTGGCTGAGATCCTGACCTTTGTCCCCCAGTGTTGGTTCAGCCCAGAGGGGAATTGAGTGCAGGATGGAAGCTCCCTGAGGGCAGACGCCGGGCAGACACCTGGCAGACGCCTGGCACCCCCCGCCCCGCGCTGCAACGGGGACTCTGATAACTGACCTGATTAGCATAAATCCACTTGCATTAGGAGCTGCAAGTGGCCAAGAGAACCTTATTCTGGACTTAGAGCTCTGTTCCTTCCTCAGTGCTTGGTTTATCCCCAGGGAACCAGGAAGACACAGAAATGTAGCCCGAATCCTAGAACTACAGGCTCAAAACTGAAGACCACAGAATTCCAGAACCATGTACTGTAGCCGATGTAATCCCAGAAGTGTGGAACTCAGAATTTATGTCCACAGGACCCCAGAGCCTCAGGATTGTCAACCACAAAATCCCGGAGTCACAGGCTCTGACCTGTAACCCAGAGTATTCTAGAACCACAGGACCCAGAAATTCAGCCCACAGAATCCTAGCTCCAGGGGTCTCAAATCTGCAGCCACAGAATCTTAAGAGACCACAGCATGCAACACACGAAATCCTGGAACCATGGGAAGCAGAAGCGATGCCCACGGTTTTCTAGAACCTCAGGAGAGGAACGAAGCGTGGGTTCTCAGCACATTAAGCGCTAGGAGGGTGGCCGAGGAACTCATCTCATTCAAGTACCCTCCTTTCAAAGATGGGGCGACCGAGGCCCTCTGAGCCTCCAGGGCCACCCTGCCAGAACCCCTCCGCGGCCTTCAGGAGTGCTGGGAGGTCAGGGCCCCACAGGGGCTGGTGGGCGGGGATGCCCGGAGGGGGATGCCCGGAGGGGGATGCCCGGGCGGGGGGGGGGGAACCCTTCGGGCACCAGGGACCCTCGGTGCGCAGGCGCACTCACCGGCGGTATCGTATAGGTTCAGGGTCACCTCCTTGCTGCCCACAGTCACGCTGGCCGTGTATTTCTCGAACACAGATGGGGCGTAGTCCTGTCGGAGAAGGGGTCGGCTGGTTCTTAAGGGGTGCGACGGGGGCCCAGGGTCCAGCTGTGCCGCCCCCTTCACCCCATCCAGCTCAGCTCCCCTCACCTCGCTGGGCTCTGGAATTCCCGAGGGGGCGCCCCGGGTGGCGGCTGCCTCTCCACGCGCAGGACGCCGGGGAGCCGGGGTCCAGGCTCAAGATGCAGGCTGAAGGCCTTCCGTCGCCCCCGGTGGTCCCAAGCCCGTTTGCCCCGCAGTCTAACCCCCACCAACCCCCGGCGGGCCTCACCTCAGGGAAGGAGCCCTGGCTGTACACCATAAGCAGTGATGTCTTGCCGCAGCCGCCGTCACCCACGATCACGATCTTCAGCTCCTTCCTGCCCGGGCTCGGGCCCGGGGCCCCGGGGGCATCCATAGCTGTGAGCAGCCAGCACTGGCAACCGCACGCCGGGCGGACCTCTGGGGCTGAACGATCCGGGGTGGGGGCGGGATCCAGGGGGCGGGGCGAAATAAACCCCGCCCACTATGTGCCGGCATTGCCTCCGCCAGGCAGCCGCCCGGGCTCACCTCCCAGCTTCAGTTTTCCTTTGTTAGGGTCCCCGCTCGGGGCGTCCACCTTTCATTCCCAGGGAAACTGAGGCAACTGAGGAACGGGGTTACTCGGCCTGTAGCGCCGCTCCCACTCCCTCCCCTGCACGTCAAGGCGCGCCCCCCATCGACAAGATTCGATCGTTTCGTTTCCGCCGTTCCTCGCCGGACACCCCTGATTGGCAGGCTCCACCTTCTGGCAGGGACCCTCTGATTGGCCGGCTCGGCCTCCCCCCCCCCCATCGACAAGATTCGATCGTTTCGTTTCCGCCGTTCCTCGCCGGACACCCCTGATTGGCAGGCTCCACCTTCTGGCAGGGACCCTCTGATTGGCCGGCTCGGCCTCCCCCCCCCCCATCGGACAGGGGCCCTTTGATTGGTGGATCTTTGCCCCAGCACCAGGGGTCTAGGAGTCGTGGTCTCAGGCTCTGGGAAAAAGCCCTTGTCTGTACCCCGCCTCAGCTGTGTGTCCTGGGGCAAGTCGGCTTCCGACCTGTTTCCCCACGAGGTAGGTTGGTAGTACCGGGGAAGATGCGGGCACGGGGGGCGTGTCTGCCCACCTAGCCCAGCCCTACGGACGCCAGTGTGGGTGCGGGTTGGAGGTGGGGAATAGCGGTTTCCCTCACCTACCCACCCCAACCTCCCCAAGAGCGCAAGGTGGACGTCTGGCGCCCTCTGGCGGGCAATCGCCTTGGGGCGGGCAGCTTGGAGAGCAGGTGAACGACTCCGGAACAATATCCTTTGGGGGTTGGCCCCAAACCACGCGGGCGGAAGTCTCTTTCTAGCAGGGGGGCCAGAGGCGTGAACCGAGGAAAAACACCGTCGAGGAAGGGATGGGGAAAGCCAGGGCAGATCTAGTTGAGATAAGCTGGGCCACCCGAGAACACCCACCCCACCCTGAAATTTGATTAAGCTCTTTCCAGCCAGCAGCCACGTATCTTCATCCCAAGGATTCTCACCAACCCTCCCACTTCCCTGATCAAAACAGCTATTTATTGAGCACAATGTACAGGTACTATCACGGCTGCTGGCTGAGATCACCCCTGCCCCCTATTCCGTCCCTCCCCGCGCCCCTGGGCCCACGGTCCGTTGCACAATCCAGGCCAGTGGTCAGGAAAGGCGGGGGACCCCTGGAGCCAGTGTGCGGCCGGCAGGTACTGACTGAGGCATGCGCAAGTGAGACACGGGTCCTACGAGCCGGGGTAGGACCTGGTAGTTTCCTCAGAGAGGGTTTGGAAGAACTCAGGATCTTCTAGCCACCCCCACCCCCCTCCCCGCAATCCCTTGGGAAGATTTTCAATTTTCAAGTTCTCAGCAAAGACCAGGTAAACTACTTCACGGAGGAAACTGCCAACCTGGCAATTCCATAAACGCCGGGTAGGTTTTCCGCGGATGCAAGGCAGGATCTGACCACCAGAGGGCAGCAGCGACCGCTCGTGGAAGCTTACAAATAAGAGGCCAGAGCTGGGAAAAGCAGGTAAGGCCCAGCTCCAGGTTAAGTGAGTCCTATGACCCGTCCTTGGGTGGGAGGGCCACCCGCTGGGTCAAGCACCCCCCCCCCCCAAAATTTACAGCAACTCATTCATTCCTTTTTTGCAACACAAGTTTATTGAGAGGCAACTGAGCTCCTGCCTGCAAAAAGCTGTCTTGGGGAAGCAGTCTGAAGCAGTCTGGGAGATGTGAACAGTTAAAGAGACAAGAACCTCTGCAGGGTCCAGGTAAGGCTGAGCCTCAGCTAGGCAGTGCTGGGAGGGCAGAGCAGTGGAAGCAGGATGGGTACGCTGGGCAAAGGCCTGGTGGCTGGAAAACCCCATCAGGTTCCACAGCGCCTGGCAGCGAAGACCAAACATGGTTGTCAAGGTAACGGGGGTTAGATCAGGGAGGGCCTTGCTGCCAGGCTCAAGAGGGGTGTCTGGACAGAAAGCTCCTGAAAAGAAGCGCCCAGCCAAAGCCGGGCCCTCAAGCTCTCTCTCTGGTGACCCAAGAGGAGCTGACTGGCTGGTGCGGCAGGGCTGGGGTCAGGTTTCCAGTGGCAGCCTGAGGCTGGCAGGAGAGGCAGGATGGACAGGCCTCTGAGTGAGGGGCCGCCTGCTTACCTTCACAGCCAGCCCCAGGCCTGATCCTGAATCAGGGACCCCTGAAGCTCGGGGTGGGGGGGGGGGTGGACTGGAAGGCAAGAGGAGGAGAGGTCGGGGGGAGAATTCAGTTAGGAGGGTCAAGGAGGGTCACCGCACTCTTAGCAAACTGTCACCTGAGGGTTCACCACACCTCCTGACTTTCCTCAAAATCCTGGACCTCAAGTTTCCATTTTCTCCACCTGAGAAACAGGACTCTGACCCCAACTTAAGACAGAACAAATGGCTTCCACAGAACTGAGGCGGGGGAAGGGAGGGGAGGGGAGGAAAGGCGAGGCTTCCCAAGCCCTGCCTGCATCCGGGCAGAACAGCTGACACTGGCCCCAGCCAGCCTGCCCACCCACCCACCCACCCACGCCTGGCCAAGAGGCTGGCAGAACCCCAGCCCGACCCGGCCTGGAGTGTGTTTGATTTGGACCCAGCTCCAGTGGTGAAGAGGCTGGATCTGTACCTAAAAATACCCAGGAGCCAGGCCAGCTGCTGAGAGCTTCCTCAGAGGCAGCTGGGCCAGGGCAGGCCAGCTGAGGAGCTGGGTCTGCCCACACGCATGGGGAGAACGTGCTCCCTTACCTGTCAGATGTTCTGAGGACGCAAGTCATTCACCTTCTATTCACGAGGAATTCCTGGAGAGGTTTAGGAAAGCAAGAAAGATTCTTTAAATTGGATCTTAACATAAGAGCTGTTGGACACAGAAGCCTAGGGGAGGCCAGGTGGCATTTGTGGGGGGAATTCATTCGGCCAGTGCTATAGTAAGGCCAACTGAGCCCAGGAGAGAACTAAGGGCCAGATCCACTTCTGTCTTGTCAGAGCAAAGTCTGACCAGCATAGGTAAGGAAGTTAACGACAATTCTTCCAGCTTCTACTTCCCTGGTACCTGGGAACATCCTAAGAGGTCACCTCACACCTGAGGGACCGGTCATCCACCCCAGATGAGACAGAAGACACTGAGCTATTCTTTGAGGTACCAGATGGAAGGTGGCTGGGGTTGGCCGGGGAGTCAAGGACTCTCTCCAGGGCTCAGTACCTGGTGGTGCTGATGGGGAGGTCATGCTGAAACACAAAAAGCTCCCCTCACAAAGCCAGACTCAGAGACGGCTCAAAAGGTCATCCTCCACCTTCTTCCTCCTGGTTCACATGCGGAGACCTCAGCTCCCAGAGGGGCGGGGACTTGCTGAGGTCATGGCCAGCTGGAGACAGCGCTGGACCCAGGCGGCCTCCAAGATGGCGGGGTGCCTCTTGCCACAGTCCAGGCAGAGGCAGTCTCCACCCAGAGGGTCCAAAAGGTCGTATTCCAGGCTGGGGCTCCCGGTGGATGAGCCGGAAGAGGCGGGACCCTGGTGTCCAGTAGCTAGGCAGGTCCAGCCACCTCCCAGCCTTGGGCCGCCCTTCCGCTGGCGTGGCCCTCTCCAGGCTGGCCCCACCGGATTGGCGCCAGGAGCAGCCCCGCCCTGAGCTCACGGGGCCACCGGGGGGCGGGGCCAACCTCTGAGCCAGAAGGAACCACAGCCGGAGGACGGACAAGCTGCTGCGCCCCTCCCTGCCCCCCCGGGGGGGGGGGCGATGGGGGTGCGGTGGGGGGACAAAGAAAGGTGAAAGAGGTAAAGAAGGGAAGTGGGGAGGGGGTATGACCCTTACAGGTCATCGGGACACCTCTCCCTCCCAAAAATCACATCCAGACCACAGGTTCGCACCTAATTGCTCCTAATTGTTCCGAGGGCAGGAGTGGAGGACGTGGCTCTAGCCCTCC